CTAAACCCCTAAACCCAAAGCCCAGGACACCAACTATCCGGTGGCCAACGACCACCGCGTGCTGGAGCCTCCCGCTCCTCCCATCGCAGCACCCTACAAAGCCGCTCTGGAGGCCGACAGTCGATGGTTGGGGTTTAGGGTTGAGGGTTTAGGGATGTTTCGGGTTCAGGGTTTTGGGTTCAGGGTCTAGGGTTCAGGGTGTAGGGTCTAGGGTTTAGGGTCTAGGGTTTAGGGTCTAGGGTTTAGGGTCTAGGGTTTAGGGTTCAGGATTTAGAGTAGCTTCATCCCATGTATATTGGGGTCCATGTATCTCTGTAGCCACCTCAAAGGGCTTCCTGTATAGACTGTGAGGCTGAATGTTCTCCAACATCGGTACATGGGCCCTCAGGGTTTAAGGTTTGTAAGTTTCCCGGGAGCTCTTTAAGTTAGGGGGGCTTTGTGTGTGTTTGTGTGTGTGTGTGTTTGTTTGTAAAAAAAAGTTCGGGATCTGCTTTTTTTTTTTTAATAACGACGACGGATTTGGGATTTAGCAGTCTCCGGCCGGACGAAGCGACAGTTGTAATATGTTGTAATCAAGTATGATACCTTTACAAGGCTCTGTGTTTGATAGGGTGTTCTTCCAAGTTGTATTCTTCAAACATGTTTGATACTAAGTTACTATCTTTGGGAACTCCACATGTTTCAGGAATGGAGCTATCGATGCTGCTCGTCGTGCGTGTACCTACGTCGGATGAGTGCTGAGTACCGAAGCATCTGCACACCGGTTCAAATGCAGATACAGATATTTGGTACAAACATGTACATATAGGCCCCACAAGTCTGAACACCCATAAACCCTAGGCCCTAAGCCCTAAACCCAAAACCCATCTCACCCCTAAGCCCAAAACCACATACCTAGAGCCAGACCGGCGAGGAGCGGCGTCGAGGTACCAAGCGATGCGCCCGGGACGGTGCCGAGGGCGAAGGCACATGCAGGTAGGGTTTAGCGTAAAGATTCGGGTTGAGGGTTTTGGTCTGCACATCTTAGGGATTTACGTCTTCCGTAGCTACATCAAACGTAATTCCACACCCACCGTGGGCTTGTCTACCAGCACCGACGGCTGCGTTTAAATGCTGCAGACAAGGACAGCCCATCATATCAGTGGTTCCCCTGCTCGAACTTGCTGAGCCCCGGAGATGGTGCCCAAAATAGTAGGATCCTTTTTCTTATAATGACCCCAAAATAAGGTGCCTCCTGGGTTTCGGAAACCCTAAACCCTAAACCCAGTTGTGAGTGCTGAAACCCTAAACCCTAAACCGTACTGTTCCTAAGATATCCCTAAACCCTTAAACCCTAAACCCTAAACCCTAAACCCGAAACCCGAAACCCTAAACCGAACCGGAGGGAAAAGATATGAGGAACCTGCAAGGCTTTTGGCAAGCGACTGAAAGTTCTGAGGGCCCAGGGTTGCCCTTCGCCCAAAAATCCTGGGAGTTCAGGGTCCAGTACCCAGAGAGCCGCAGCATGCCACTCAAGTTGGGGGCTCTAGGGGTTTGGGGGCTCTAGGGGTTTGGGGGTTTTAGGGTTTAGGGGTTTAGGGTTTGGGGGTTTTAGGGTTTAGGGTTTTAGGGTTTAGGGTTAGGTACATGCATTGGCGAGAAAACTGAAGTGTTGATTTTAGGGTTTAGGGTTTTAGGGTTTAGGGTTAGGTACATGCATTGGCGAGAAAACTGAAGTGTTGATTGCCCGGATGTCGTCTCAGAAGTGGGGAGTGTAGTGTTGCAGATCTGCACATACCTCCTCGGGGTTCACGGTGTCTGGTGACCGTACAAGTTCGGATGCGAGCGCCTACACCCTAAACCCTAGACCTCTAAACGCTCTTTAGGCCTCCAGACACAGGGTGCTGTGGCTTCCCGTAATGCCCAAGATGTTTAGAAGGCTACGGGCTTGTTGCGGCGTAGGTTTGGGGTTCGAGAATCTGGATTTCGGGGTTAGGGCCTGGGGTTTGCAGGCAGAGTGTTGAAATGTTTATCCCGACCTAAAGAGATCGGCCTTTTGATGCTTGATACCCTGAGCAGCCGCGCACCTTCCTGGAGCTTGCGTGTTGTGGAGTGGCATGGGAATGGGAGTCAGAGGGAGGGAGAGACGGAGCCACAGCCGGAAAAAAAATCACATGAACATCAAAAAAATGAGCGGCGAAGTGTTTTGGGGTAAATGGTGGGAGCTTCAGGTTGTGGGAATTGAGGTGCGTGGGGTCGTCCTGCACGACCTGGCTGTGGAGTCTTGAAGCCCGGTTTGAGATGTCGCAGGAGGATAATAAATAATTAGGGGCCTTCATGATTAGAATAGAGTTTCGGGGTATAGCATAGCCCCTACATGACATCCTTACTTGTATGCAGCCAATACGTACCTACATACATACATACATACATACATACATACATACATACATACATACATACGTACATTCCCTAGATACATAGGAAGCAACATACATGTGCATTCACATATGCACATCTACATGTAGATTTACCGTACGCGCATATGCAGTACCGTATATCCGATCTATCCTTCTATCTGTCTGTCTGTCTGTCCATCTATCTGCTGTGAATCTAGATTCTATCTGTCCATCTATCGATCCATATCTTTCCATCCATCCATCCATCCATCCATCCATCCATCCATCCATCCATCTATCTATCTAATCAATCTGTCTATCTATCTGTCGATCTATCTACCTATCCATGTATCTATCTACCCACCTATCTATCTAACTGTCGATCTGTCTGTCTATATACCTCTCCGTCTCCTTGTCCCTCCATCTCTCTCTCTCTCTCTCTCTCCCTGGCTTTCTCTCTCGATGTCTGTCTTTCTTTCTGTCTGTCTGTCTGTCTGTCTGTCTGTCTGTCTGCCTGGCTCTCGTGCTTCTCTCTCTCTCTCTCTCTATCTCTCTACCTCTCTCTCTCTATCTTTCTCTAAGTATGTATTTAGGTTCGATCATTCTTTCGTTCTTTCCATATGCATATGTGTGTGTGGGAGATTGGTGTATTTCTCCGTTGCCGTATACTCGCACCCACGTTACAAGTGGCTGGAATTCTCGGGATAGTTCAGGGTCTTCGTTGCGAAGATGATGAGCCTGATAGAGAATCCAGGTTTTTTCACGGTTTACGGGTTTAGGGCTTCCAGGGTTCGAACATGATGCTTCATCACACATCATATCCTGTGTGGGAGACGAAATCCACGTGAGGGCGAGTGCACGTCGGGATTTCATGATTGTTTTTTGGTGCTTTCGGGCTCATCTTTTTTTGACAAACCCGCTTCCCTGTACGGCCAAACCTGCCAAATCTTGAAAACTTGTTCTCACACGTTCTGTAGTTCGGAGGCCTCGCAGCCCATTGAAGACCTTTTCTTGTCGAAAGATGCTTATAATCCTCCTTCAACGTTAAATTTTTTCGAAAGCATTCTGTAACCCTAGCCCTAGCCATGATGAAACCTAACTGCGACTGTTGCCAGCGATCCCGAGCGACATTCTGATGTTCCGCATTTTTGCCGTGACCTGCAGTAGATTGGACCATGAAACCTTGCATCGCAGCAATAATTTTCAAGCCGCAGAGTTCTCAGCGCCGGCATGGAGCTCCGTTTCTATCTGAAACCCCGCCCTGAAAATTATCTCAGGATCTGCACGTTGGAGCAAGCACATCAGTCGGCGTGCTGCATGAAGTTGAAGGGGTGCGCATCACAACAAGCATGGCAGTGAACCAGAAACCGAGATTTCGGCGCCACATCCTTGATGTTGGTGAAGAGTTGTGCGAGATGTTGGGTTTTGCTTGATTGTGAACTTGCAGAATAAGCAAGCTACGAAACAAAGATGCTGAGTTCTGTTAAAGCTT